GCATACATTAAACATGTAAAAGTCTGACTCTACAAAACCTCAGCTAATCGGAAGGCAAGCTACCCATACAGCTAACGAGATAAAATACAGCCAAATGTACATTGATTTCTTAATTACGTTACATGTTACAAGTCAATAGTAAACTTTTCTTGTTTGCTGTAGTATGTTATGAGGTAACATGATGCAAGTTTAATTTCTCATCTAATCGCTAATATAGTCAACTACAGAGCTTGTAGCCTAAACTGAGCGGCTATTGAAATTCCAAATAAAAAGGAATTTTGGGCTTTGCATTTTACAGCCATAATCTGTTAACTAGTGATTGCACAATGCAAAGCAATGCGCAAGATGATTGTTCTCCAATTTACATAAGCAATGCGCAACACTGCTGGTATCAGTATGTATGTGTGGGTGTGTGTGTGTGTATGTATGTGTGTGTGTGTGTATATATATATATATATATATATATATATATATATATATATATATGATATATATATATGTACTCACTATATATGGACTGGCGACCCGTCCAGGGTGCCCCCATGCGCTGATCACCCCTTACTAGTAGGCTTAGCTCAGGGGTCGGCAACCGAAGCATTTTATATCCGTTTTACCATCTTGGTTGTAAATAACTCTCAGTGTGTGCTAATGTGCTAGTATAGGCTAAAAACACTTTGAATACTAAACATACTTTGCTCTGCTTTAAGTTTTAGGTCAGCTGTATGCACTTCTCTCGCACATCAGTCAGGAAACTTTAAAATGTAAAATGTAAAAAGTCAGATTCTCATTTACCAGCTTCTTGTTCAAATTGTCCCGTTTGACCTCAAATGGTGCATCAGGCGCCAGAATGTACGTTACTGCTGCACCATTTAAGGTGGAACGGGAGAATTCGAATGAAAATCTGACTTCACGATTTGGTGTTTGACAGTTTCTCGTTTCAGATTAATCCGTATCTGGAAACCACTTGGAGTGATCATAAATGCAAATTCCATTCGTCTCCAAATGTTCGTCTTAAATCTGGGGATAGAATATTATGCCTCATTTTTTTTATATGAAATTTGATTTGTTCTCTGTGAGCGCTATCAGTGAATTATGGCCAATCAAAATCTGCCAAGCTCCGCGTTATTTTCTCAACCCTCCGATCACTGCTTAGTAATTGTTGCTGTCCCCAATTACTTAAGTAATCAGCGTCTGTGAGGTTCGTAACTAGCGTTAGGATTCCAAGCTCCTCAGAAGTATCTCAGGGTTTTATGAGATTCAAAAAGCGATGAAACTACACAGCGAGCAATGAGAGGGTCTCAGCTGACCTCAGTACAGCTGTGGCTCGGCCATAGACTGTGAACTGCCTGCTCTGTTTGTCTCTGTACGAGACGCTACACAGCCCAGAGAACCAGAGTAACTTTGACTTCTTGAGATGTTCAGGTATGCAGCACACATGCAATAAGCTAACACATAACATCGCTATGGCAAAAATGTAGCTAGCTGAGAGTTTATGAGCACAATTAACACATTAAGATTGTACAATGAAAACCTTATATTTCATTTTTTTGCTTGGACTGCTCTTAACGTGGCTAGCCAAATCAGCATGCTTTAGTCTAGCTCCAGTAGCTGCTCAGTTTAGGCTACAGGCTCCATAGTAGGCTATATTAGAGATTAAATGTGAAATTAAAGTTATATTGTGTTACTTACTCATAACATACTACAATCAACATGAGAAAGTTCACTGTTAACCAGCATATTGACGGTATAGTATCATGTAGCAAACATTAAGAAATCAGCGGGTACATTAGACTATATTTTGTCTCATTAACTATATGAGTAGCCATCTTTCCCTTTAGCTGGGCCTTGGTACAGACAGCCTTTTTATAACATATGTTTAATGTGTGCTTTTACAATAATCACTGAGTACAGAGATGCAAAAGAAATAAGCAAAGAGAGAGAGAGAGGTAAATGTAACAAAATCAATTTGAAACTATCGCCTGATTTAATGTAGATTTAATGTATTTTTTAAGCTGAAAATAAACATAAATAAATAGTTAAATGATTAATTAAACGTAAACAGGGCAATTGAAGTCAAATAAGTTTATAGAACATTAATAGCAGTTTATGGAAGAATGGAGGGATGAAGAAGGAACAAATGAAAAAAAAGGTGCATAACAGTTATAGATTAGTAAAAAAAAGCAGTGATTGAATAAAAAAAAACAAAAGGAGAAACTTATTGTTGCTTTAATACTCATATTTCGTAGTTATTTTAATCACAATCAGATGTAAGTAACATTTCTGCAAAACTGACCTCACAAAAATTCTGATCCTAGTTATGGCCCTGTTAGCAGTTATACGTTAACTCCAGCATTTAAGACCATTTATTGTTAAAACTGTGTTAGAACAATCAGCAGAGCTTTATTTTACGGCAAAGGATGATTGTTGTTTTACCTGAAAATCTAGTTCTGCTGTGGAGCCGTAACAGGGCAGTAAAAGAGCCGTGTGTTGCCAACCCCTGCCTTAGCTAAAGTGGAAAAAACATTTTTGTAATAAACTATTACTAATAGTACTCCGCAGAGCCAGGGTCACTGCTAACAATTTTGAGGCTGAAGTGTTGCAGAAGTTTAACAAAGGACTCTGAATATCATGTCTGTACATTTCTTGCTGGAATGTTTAAATTGGAGCAGTTATATTTCAACAGTTGACAATGCTTTGCACAAAATTGTTTGGTTTGTATCCGGTTATTTTTGTTGATTTTTGTTAGGAAAAACCTGGAATGATTGACTTTTTGCCTTTACTTAATCTACATTTTTGTTGGATATCACACCTTTGGTTGTGTAAGTTTGATTGTTGGTTACTGCATAGCTCCTTCATAGTTATGCATATTTGTCATTGGAGCGGTGGTGCAGGATCGTTGAACAACTGTCCAGCCTGTCCAGCTCCGGAAATACAACCATCCAAAGTATATGTTCCAAATACACTGCAGGAAATGTGTAGTGACGAACTGCATGTCACATTAAAGAGCCAATTAAGCCAATAGTGCTAATATTGCTAACGATTAATTAAAGGAAACAGCCACAATTTAGCATTAGGCAAATGATATTATGCTACCTGGTGGTCAGTGGCTTTCATTCTCTGTCACATTGGCTGGGCAGGTTTAGCCTTTAAAGTCAACCTGAAATCAAAATAAATATTTTGATAGTTCATGTCCTTTATCTTATGGATTATGCATAATATCATTCAAAAGACAAAACTCTTCTGTCTCCATGATCTTTGACCAAACTGTGGTGGCTTTTAATTAATTTTTAGTGCTGGGTGGTTTACTGTCTGTACTGGTTTAATAGTATTGCTATGACACAATAATACTGATTAATTTTAGAAACATTCCTGGATAACTTAAATGTATTTCCAGGGTACTTTGGATTATTTTGAAGAAACAGTCAAAAAATACATTACAAAAAACAAATGTAAATTTATCCTCCTGTAAGTGCTGTTTCTGTCTTGTTTAAATTTATAATACAGGTTCCATTTTGTGTAATTTTAGGAGAAGCATAAAATAACAAAATAGTATAATCAAATGTTAGTTTTGCTTAATGCTCTTTAAACATTATTTTCATTTGCACCAAGTAATCATGGGGTGGATTAACTTTATTAATGCTAACTTAAATATTGTTTGATAATGTGATGCTGTCATATATATTGTGATGTGCAGCTGCCCAAAGCATCCCATTCTGCTGGCAGTGCTTTCCTATGGAGATTATACAAGCTGTGTGTGCACAGTTGAACACCTGTGTCAGAAATAGGCGCACCTCGAAGTAGACAAATTCAGTGTGTGGATTCCATTGGACATATAATGTAGATTTGACATGTATACTGTGTACTTTCAGTACTTGAGGTCTATATATTGCCTTTCTGAAATTATGACAGTCATCATCCCCCCACCCCCCTCCTTTTCCTAGACCCTTCAAGACCTAATATTCTTATGAATGGGCCATCTCCATAACAACCATGGGCCTTACTTTCTATTTGAGTGGCACAGCAGTGACTGCACACTGTGTTTGGGCTAAAAGTCTCACAAAGTACTGTGATTTCTGAATTAAGGCTGAGATACATACACCAACACAGTGTTTCAGCCACTTTTTTGGCTGAAAAGGGCCAATGTGATGACTAACTGTATTTTCATAATTTTTTTTAAATAATGGTTTGCTGAAAACACTATTAAAATTTTATTTCATTATGTAGTGTTCTCTACCTAATCCATGTGGCCCATATATTAAGCTGTAAAAATTTTGAAGTTTTTGTGATGTCACAAAAACCAATGCATTTACATATGTCTGCCTATACAACCTAGTTTAGCCGTCCATACATGTTGCAGTTATAAGGAATGTTACAACCTGTGCTTATTTTTAAATGTAGCTTGATATAGGGCAGTCTGTCGGAACAGGCCGTATATGAATAAACATATAAAAAAGTGAATTATGACTGTTTTTGGTACAAAAAACCCACATAAACATTATAAGTGGACCTTGGAGAAAAGTAAAATGTAGGATGTGAGCCCTTTAAGCCTGAGGTATGTACACATACAAACACTGTCTACTGTGCTGGGTCACACAGACACACTAGCAATGCTCTCTCTCTCTCTCATAGCTTATAAAGGCATGTGTGCTGGCGCTTTTAGACAAAGGCTCTTTTCATCAGAAACAGGAAGTGAGCAGTGCTTCTTTCCTCCAGCTGCCCACCAAGGAAATCTGGTCATTTCTGATACGTCACATATTAACCAGTCACATGTCAGTCTTTTCAGTACAATTTGATTATGAATGATTTCTCAATGGCTCAGTCTGATAAATAACAGGATATTTCACTCTTGTGGTGATTAGTTTCTGTGTTCTTATTGGCTAAGCAAGTTTGTTACGTAGTGCCTTGAGCTCATATTGGGTAACAGGCATTATAAATTTCCACTGTGTTTCCACTGATATGAAAGCTTTTATTAAAAACACAGGAAGTGATTGATATAGACTGTGAGTATATGTGAGACAGACCAAAAGAAAGCCAAGAAAATAGTTCTTTGGTAGCATCTATCCCAGAGGATTACGGGTAACCAGATACAGCAACTGGGCAGTGGTGGAGGATTCTGGGAGCTTATTTTGTTGTGTATGTATTTGTTCACATACTCTTAACTTATTTATGTTTTTGCCATATGGGGGAATTAAAGAGAGCCAAAGTGAGAGAAAGTTATTTGTGGAAATATAATCTGCAGTAATGCACACTGTAATCTAGTATAATCTAGGTCTATTACTGTTGTATTTTGGAACTAACTCCAGACATAGTATGACCACATATAACTCTTATTATTTTCTTACTGTGATATAAGTAGTTCTTGCTCATGTTGAAGCCATAGTAAAATATATACATGATATAGACGTGTATGATTGCAAACATCAGCTGAATTCAATCATTGTGCTGTTCATGGAATATTCTTTGACTGTTATGTTGCTTGGCAACCGTAGCCTAACAAGTTACATTGTTTGGCAGCAGAATTATTCATTATATTTATTTTAATAATAAATTCTTGATTGAACTTTCTTAAATTGATCATTCTGTTAAAAGGGGTTGTTTAGGCAGGACATGTTGATTACATTCCAGCACTTGTAATCATCACAGCCATCACCATAGTCATCACTGATTGTCATCAAACTGATTGTCAAAACATGGGAGAATACAGAAATGGGGAAGCTGCAAGGCTTTGAAAAGAGCAAGCACAATAGATGTTTTCTGCTTTTTTCAGCATGGATGTATTGTCATTTTTCATCTCTGCAAACAGCAGCGGGTCAGTCAGGAGAATTTAGAAACCTAGTTCTTCCCATTCCAGAAAAATTGTCACATGAAGATTAATGTGTGTGTATCCTTACTCATGAACAGCATGAAAACACACCCATGTGTACATCCATGTGCTTGATGCAGGGAACCTTTTTCCTGCTTCTGCATTTACATGGTTTCAAAAAGTAAAGAGCTTTTTTTTTATCATCTTTTGATGCAAGAATGTTAAGGCCGTTTGTGATTCTGCTGATCATCATGTTTTTGCTCTAGATTCTCTGTGTTTTCTGTTTAGGTGCAAGAGGCCTTTAGTCTACCTTACCTTACCTGGCTGAGAGAGACACAAGCACAGCCTCGCAAAGGACAAACAGTGGAAGAGGAAGTATAGAAGATGAGATAGAAGATCAAAGAGTGGAGAAGAAAAAGCTCAGTGCAAGAGTCTCTCCCATTTCCCTCTTTTTTCCTTCACACTCTCTCTCTCTCTCTTTATCTATCTTGCTTCTCTTCCTCCCCCTTGTCTTTCTCAGTATGAGGCTGAAGGAAGATGTGAACCCTTTGGTTTTTGTCTTGTTTAGAGTGGTAGTATGGCTTTACTCTCTGCTGACTTACGTGCCAGCTTTGCTGCTGGGCTCTTCCAGCTCAGGCTCCTTAAGCCACCCCTCACAGCGGGTAAAGGCACGCTCGGTGAGTGGCCGTCCAGCTGGGCCCTACCGGGATGTGGCAGCTCTGGACAGACTAACCACATGCCTGCAGCCGGGTGTGAACACCTTGGACAGGGTGTTTGAAATTTCAGCTGAGCGCTTCTCCAAGCAGGACTTCCTGGGGACCAGACAGGTGCTGCGTGAGGAGGAGGAGAGGCAGGAGAATGGGAGAATGTTCAAGAAGGTGAGAGGAGACCAGTGTATATTTGTGTGTAACATGAGAGAGAGGGGGCGACATACATAAGAAAAAAAAAATAATGGAAAAAACAGCCGTATTTACTAAATTTGTTACACATATATGTATGGGGCATATGTATGAACCCACATAGTCACAGAGTATAAAAACAAGTTTACATTTTGTGTGTGTTTGTAGGCGTGCATGTGTGTGTGTGTGTGTGTGTGGGTTTATAATCCCATAATCTGATTTGCACAACCCTACAAGTGTGTAGAACAAGCTAATTATTTGTGCAGTGTGATTAGTGCACCAGTACTTGTTACATTTGCTCTGTGTCCACTCTAGTCACAATAATAACATGCTCAAGAGCTCAAAGACAGTGTATTAAAACAGTCTTGATGTTTGAACCTTTCCTAAACTAGTGAATGAATAAAATCCATTAATGCAGTCCTAATTCCCAAACCTTTAGCAACTGCACTGATTGCTGATGATAACAAATGCATGGTGTGACAGTTCAAGATTTTTCCACTATCATAACTGTGGATGTCCAACTATGAGGGTCAAAAACATCTCAGCGGGTGTTGCGTTTTGATCCCCTTTGTCTAGACAGTGTCATCATCAAGTACACTAACAATACCACCATCATAGGCCTTTTTTCTGGCAGTGATAAGCCAACTCACATGCACCATGTTGGGCACTTGATTGATGCCATGACATCAATCTTCTTTAATGTCAGTAAGACAGATGGACTGTCTGAGGGATCACTGATTTTACCAGGCAGGGGGGAAACCTGACCCCATCTGCTGTAGACCTTGGAGAATGTCTTTAAATTGACTATCAACAAGGATGCACAAATAACATCACAGGTGAAATTGGTGTGTGTATCAGTGATATGTATGGCAATAAAATCGGAGAGTAAAATCAGATCGAAGAGTATCAATATTAATGAAAGTAGGTTTAAAGTATTAACTCTATACTTATTAACTATACTTGTTAACAAACAAGAACAGATCAGGATAGATCAGATCAGTCTGCACTGCACAAACTTTTCTCCAGCAGATGGCACTGTCTTACTATTCTTGTTCAAAAATGATAATCTGCTGCATGATAACCACCAAAACCATCCATGTTTAATTAATGTATTAATATATTGTTGTGAATATGAGTGTAATTTAAGTGAACACTGAAAGAGTCTAGACTAAATATTCTGTCTTTCTGTCTTTATCTCCTGCTGTAGGTGATACTGGGAGAGTATCTGTGGTTGTCGTATGGGCAAGCATATAGAGCAGCAAGGGAGTTTGGGAGTGGATTACTTGCTTTGGGGCAGAAGCCCTGCAAAAACACTGCCATCTTCTGCGAAACCAGAACAGAGTGGATCATAGCTGCCCAGGCATGCTTCATGTACAACTTCCCATGTGAGTTGTATACACACATGAACACATATATACCCATGTCACCATTTCTGAGCCAGTGTTAAAGTGAATCACAACAGAGTGAACTCACATCAGGGTCGGAGCTTGCCTTTTTAGTACAGGATGCATGATAGGATTGGTATCATATTGGCATTGACAGATTATTGTTTAAAAATGATTGTCCAAACCAAAGGAAAGAGACACAAAATCAGAAAACAATGTGGTGCGGTCTTCAGAAAAATGAACTGGGTATGAAAACAGCCTGATGTTCTTTAGAGATGTTAGCTAACAAATACTGCTCTTTGAGGCTGCACCTACTGAAGCAACATCAAAACAAACACTGACTGTTCATGATCAGGTGGGTAGAGGAGCCTAAATCAATACTCAAGTAAAAGTATTGATACTTGCATAAAATAATTACACAAAAGTACCTTTCCCAAAACAACTTGAGTAGAAATACAAAAGTAGCAAGTCAAAAATCTACTTTAAGCCTGAGTACTGCAGTGAAACTCCTTAGTACATCCAGCATTTGTCAGCATAAATTTTGTGCAATTCTGTTCTTATCTTTTTGGGATTTTTTTGGTCTAAAATATGAAGCTCCAAAGTCAAAGATGTCACCAATCACAAGGCAGTACAAATATTGCCACCATCAAAACGTATTGAAATTAAACGCAAAAAATGGAATTAACTAAATACGAATGGCTAAAATGCAGTAAAAAGATTCCTTTACTCACTTTAGTAGAAGTAAAAGTAATATGATTTGATAATATATGATTTGATAAGTAAAAATCGATTAATATTTCACGTAAGTACATGTACTTGAGTAAATGTAATTAGTTACTACCCACCTCTGAATAGTTTTATAAAGACATGTCACAAGTATGGCATGAAAGGCAATGTTAGTCAGTGGCCTAATTGCATTTCGTCACTCAGCCAGACCCTTTTTTTGAAACAGTATGTCTGAGGTGCGGCACCATCCCTGGGCTGTCACATGGGAAAACAGATTATTTTTTATCAATATGTGTTGATACCACTGCCAGTACATAAACATGTACAAAATGTAGAAATTGGGACTGGGATTACAAGTACAGAAAAATATAACATTTACAGGGTTAGTAATGTAGTACAATGAATGAATTGCAGACATTTAGGAAGACATGGTAACCCAGTATCGCCTAAACATTTCGCTCTTTCAAAGTACAAGAAGTTCAAAGAAGCAGTGAAATGTAAACATTTTGGCATGAAAAATAACTCATTCAATTGGACTTGCTGATACCTGCCAATACCCTAATAATGCACGGTTTAATATCTCCTACCAGTGTCTATTAAAGTAAGAAGCAGAGCCTGATGTACACGTCTATTTCTAGACATTTTTGGCAACATAGTGTTTTTATATGAAGTATTTTTAAAGTATCTTGTAATCTTTGAAAGATTCAGCATAGTATTTTATCATTCAGTTAAGCATATTTTTATTCGTTGCCCTTAAAAAAACAGAAATTATTCAATTAATTGTTAAAAAATCAGCAGATAACTTGATGAAAGCCATAAAATAAAATGCATGCATTTCTTTTTTCTTTGATGCTAGCTAAGTTGTAGCCTGCTTTCTTTTTAGTAGCATATGATTGTACCTGTTGTATTCTGATTAAAATACGCAACAAAACTTGAAAACATGCAACAAAATTCCATGGACCGCTTAACCTACACAAAGCGGAAGAATGAGGAGCAGGACATGTATGCTGCTGCCTTACTTTCAAATCGAAAGAAATGACTGTCTCTGATAGACACATACAATTACATTACACAAAGTAAGCTTTTCTTACACCTAAATGCTGCTTTTGTGGAGGGTATATTTTCCCATCCTAAACCCATTTATGCAAATGGTTATTCTTCTCCTATATTTCAAAGGGTTTTATGATACTCAAGAGTTTGCGTGCGCATGCCTGAAAGAGGTCAGTTTGTCCCCACTGCTCTGCAGTTATATAAGTGTGCTGCGTCCCCTTCACCCCTTCTTTATTTCTTTCTGACTCTCCTTCTCCCTCTCTCCTCTGTCTCTCTAAGATGTGTTGTGGCGACGTGCCTTTTCTCAGTCCTTAAGGACATCCCTAAACTTACGCACACACAAACACACAGGTCTTCTGGCTGACTTCTGCACCCTAGTGTTTCTGTCAACATCAGATACTCACGTAGTCTTCGACATCCGGCGACCTCCTACACACATATTTCCAACAGGAAGTGTGTGAGACCACTGATTCGTTTTTACCAGTTTTAATTTCAAACAGTTATGCAAAGTATGCTTCATTTTTGTTATAGAGATTTATGTTTGTTTCTGTTTGTGTGCGTGTGTGTGTGTGTGTGTGTGAGTGTGTTTGTGGTGATCTGATCTGATGCATGTGTATGTGTGTCTCTTGACTGAGGTGTCACGCCTTAGGCAGTGACGCAGAATGATGATGTCATTAGGTACATTTCAGCAGCCCTCCATCCCTGCAGCCAGGTCATGTTTGTGTTTGTGTGCGTGTGCGTGTGTGTGCATGTATGCTTGTATGTTTGTGCTTTGGGTTCTAAATGACCATTTTGACAGGAAATTTATTAAACAAGTGTGTGATGTCTTTGCATAGTACTGTACATCTTTGTGTGTAGATGTCTGTGTCTTGGTGTGTGCGCACATGTGTATGTGTGTTTGAGTTGGCATGTGTATGACAAAACTCTGCTAAAACCATGTATAGGTACCATGTGGCTCCATTGGTGTTTATTATGACATATGTGAGACTTTTCATTATTAACAGACCTCACTGCTACATGTATCTATTACTACTTTTCTGTTTTTAAAGGCATTACTTAGCCGAAATACTTGTATAACATGGATAACAGCACATTAAATCACCTGGGTACTTGGGTACACAATCTCATTTATATAATGTCAATGCTAATTACCTCCTTTTAGCATTAATTGTCAGTAACTTTGTTTTGTGTTTGTTACATATACTAACAGATGGAGTTATATTGGTGTCTGATGTTACCACAGCAATGTGCGTCATGGCCCTTGGTCACAGTAAACTGATATTTGTTTGTGTTGCAGTGGTGACTTTCTACTCTACCCTTGGTGGTCCAGCAATTGCACATGGACTCAATCAGACTGAAGTTTCCCATATCATCACCAGTAAAGAGCTTCTGGAGACCAAACTCAAGGTATAATCACACTACTACGGTACTACATATGTGTACAGTGGAGCTGATAGAACAGAAATAGAAATTCCCAAGGGTGTCATGATTTACCCGTACCCTACACCATGCTGATTCTCATTCATTCCTTTTTGGAATCAATATGGACATCAAATAAAGGGTCAACTTTCACTTTATGCAAGTAAAGTGAAACTGTTAAAAATTCTCAGAATTCAGGGTTTTTTTAGGACACAGACATCACAACACACTGTGAATCAGAGATATCCTCATAGAATCCTATTCTGACATCATAGTATGCATTTCCTTTTTATGTATAGAACTCTTTGCATTGATATGCAAAAAGTAACTGATCTGACATGCACATTGTAACCATAACAATGCCATTATTATTGAGTTCTACCTTGTAGCTGTTTGAAATAAGCCTAGTAAAAAAAGGGTAGAGTACTGTTGGAAAAAATAGTCAGTGAGTGAATGTTTTGGCTTTTGTCACAATGCAGTTCCTGCTGTTCAGCAGTCACAATTTGCTAGCAGTTTGCTAGCTAGACTAGTCAAAACTGATATGTTCACAAAGAAGCAGAAACTGTGCTATGATAAACAACATTTACTACATATGTCCAGTTCTGTAACGGTGGCAGATGGAACCAGACGCTTGCAGCCAAGGCTTGGGTTAAGATCTTTAATAACAAAGCAGTCCAAAATCACAGTTGTATGTCCAAAACAGAAAGTCAAAAACGAGATAACCAAAACAGAACAAAAGGGAACAGCCAAAATCACAGTAGTAAATATAAAACAGGTCATACACAGGGAGACCGTACACACATGAGTGACACTACTTCACAAAAATCTAACCTAAAACCTGGGCTTATATACTAAACTAAATGATGATGTGATGTGGAATAGGTGTGAGTGCAAATCAGAAGACTGGGGAAGAGGAGAGCTGATAGGTGGATTGGTGAGAGTCTGTAGTCAGGTGGTGCAGCAAGGAGTTCTGGGAATTGGCAGCCCTGTTAGCAGAATTAACGACCAGGCCGGAAGGAGGCGTTCCCAAACTGCTTCTTAGTATCTGGCATAGAAATGTCTTAGGTTCAACATATCATAATCTCCTGATATTTACCAACAAGACAGAATTTTCCGTGAGTCATCCATCTTGTCACTGCTCTCCAGAGCTACAAGTGCTTGATGTTGCTCAGCACTTTTCTGATTACTTTTTTCAACTTTTGAAAGCATTCCACTCTGGTGAAAAGAAAATCTCTGACAGCACTTTTAAAACCACCTCCATTCTGACTGCCTTGCGGCCACTTTTCATTATATGACTTGTAAAATATGTGCTGGCGATTGAGGAATATTTCATCTCTGCCTAATTCTGAATGTGTCTGTAACAGTGCAGGGACTCCTTTCAGCAGAACAGCTGCTGTAATGAGAAGGAATTGTCGAGGACCATGTCCAATGTGAAGATAAGCAGGGCAAAAGAGAAAGGTAAAGAATTAGGGGCTAGAGAGAGTGTGTGAGGCAGAGACAGGAAACAGAGACAAGGAGAGAGAGGGAGAAAAAGAAACGTGATGGTGACTCACGTTTCAGAGGGATGTCTGTGTTCTCTCAAGGCCTTCTTGTATCAGCGTGGGTCATAAAGGGTAAAGAGACTTATACAGAGTGTGTGTATGTATATGCGTGCATGTGTGCGTGTGAACGAGAGAGTGACATAATAGAAAGATAATAGAGACATACATAGAATGGAAGGGAAAAAAACAGAAAGCAGACATTTTCCTGGACATGCTCTAGAATTCTGCTTCTGCATTAAGCCTGTTTAACTTAAGTCAGGCTTATGCTTCAGACCAATGATATTATTTTTGGTATATGTAGTTTTTTTAACTGAATCTTGTTTTCTTGGTATATGTATATACATTATTTTGTGGCGTGACACTAAAAGATTTGCAAATTTAGCATGGGTAAATAAAATTACAGCAGTCTTTGATTTTGGGAATTACTGTTAAAGCATTTGGGTGACAGATGTTTTCAGTAATTGTGTTACATTTGATGTATATTTCACTAGCATTAGTTGTTTTGTGTGTGAAACACACTATAATATAAATTAAATATTAGTTAATGAATTAGTTAATTAAATAGTGGGCCAATAAAAGGAAGGCATTCAGCATGCTCATGAGCCAGTGGTGGTTGTCCTTCATGAAAAAATCAGCTCTGTCATTGAATACTCTTTCTCTAGAAAGAACATTTGAGTTCTTCTAGTATTGCTAAATCTACAATGATTGATCACCAAGTGTTTCTATGGTTTTAATTACTATTCATTTGAAGGACTAATGAGTTAGTAAAGATCCAAGTCTGCAAATTCACATTTGCAGACTTGTCTTGTCGTGCAAATTACATGTCTATATTCTACATGAATTACCTACCATGGACCCCAACAGACTTACTGTTTCTGAATAGATTTGACTTGCGGCCTCTCCAAATAATGTGGTCTGACTGTTTGGTGGTTTCTGTATGTTTTTTATCTACAAACTCAACTCGAGAAAAGTCGGGACATTATGTGAAATGCCTACAAAACAGAAAGCAGTGATTAGTCAATTCTTTTTGACCTGTATTAAATTGCAAACACAAAAACACAATATTTGATGTTACCTTATGATTTTTTTTTTTTGAAAATATATGATCATTCCAAATATGATGCCTGCAACACAGCTTTGAAAGCAGAATTTTATGGCCGTTCTTCAGCTATACATGTCTTCAGCTGCGCAACTGTATGGGGCCTTTGTCATATTTTGAAGACAAGTCTAGCACCTGCACTCTCTGATTACGCAGCCATGCGTAATGGTTCTTGGCATGTTCATGTTGAAAAATGCATGGACGTGCCTGAAAAAGATGATGTCTAAAGGACAGCATGTGTCTTTCAGATATACTCATTTTGGCAAAGTGACAGTTGTGTTGTACTAGAGGTTTGTATTAACAGTGTTGCTTTGTGTGCCTATTGCATCCTAGTTGATTCTAATGGAAGTGCCGAGACTCCAGCATATTATAGTTGTCGATGACAAGCCCACATCCTGGCCAGGTTATCCACGAGGCATCAGTGTACACAGCATGGCTACTGTACAGGCACTTGGAGCCAAGCCTGAAAATGGTAAAGTTTATGGCTAAACCTCAAATATGTAGTGCGCATTGAGTCATAAATCTATGGCTTCTACAGCAAGGTAGTACACTATATGACCAGTAGGGAATCATGTACCAGTGGTTGAATCCCAAATCACACTTTGTTAAACATATAATGTACTGTTTAAGTGCAGAAGCCATTATTTATGACCTACGTAGTGTACTGAGTAGGGAACTATTTGAGATACAGTATGTGTGTATGTGTGTGTGTGTGGAGCAATGCACCCATGGATTTTGTGTAGTGTCTCTATGTGTGCATGTGCAGAGATTTGTATGCTGTGTGTGAGTAAGGTCCTTTTAGGTCATGTGAAAGAGAGAGCCCACATCTGTGTCAAATTAAGGCCAGGGGGTGCAGACGTCTTTCTTTCTTGATCTCACTCTCTGTCTGCTGCCTTCTGCACTTATCTCTCTCTTTGTCTCTTTCTTTTTCTCCTTATTATTATGTTTGTCATTATTCCTCCCTCCTTCTCTTTTTCTTGATCTTTGATAAATTACTTAAAACTGTGCTATGTAAGATTTGGGGATTTAGTGTCCTCTCTGGTAAAAATGTGTAATTGCATGCAGTATGCAGAAGAACATTTTGGAACGCCGGTTGTGCTTCAGACTGGGTTAATCTGATTGTTCACGTCTTCATAGTTAATTTTGCAATTTTTATACATTGAGCTTTGAGCCTGCGCATGTGACATTAATATGTAATGCTATCTTCTTTCAGTTTTAACAAGAAAATCTTGCATAATGCTGCTTTCAGTTTAGATTACATCATTCACTTGAAATGATTTTTGTTTTGTATGCATGTGAAAGTGCACTGTTGGGAAAGAATGAGTTTTTTTTGTATAAACAAGGTTTGTAGGGATGAACATCTGATTGCAGATGGCTATGCAGAAAATTCACAGGTTTCAGCTGGTTTACTGTTGCTAGTTAACATTGTAGTCTATACCTTTTAGCTACTGAAGTAAGTTACTGTAAGCAATTTGCTGACATTTTCCCTAGCATACTTGCCAACAGTAGTGACATTACAGCAAAAACCAAACATGCAACTGGCTATATCAGCAACCTTGACCTGTATCAGTAAAATCAAATTACTCATAATCACCCATGCTTATAAAGCAGGATGCGATAACACAATCAAAAAAACAAAAACAATGTGACCATTCACATGCATACAAAAATTAAATTAATTACACCCTTTAAATATACATATTTTAACAAAAAAGGTATTATGTTGAATAGTTTTTTTTAATAGTGTTCTATAATCTTATCCAACCTTGCTACACTAGCTGCAGAAATAATAAAGAGTATCATGTACGAGACTGTTTGTTTACAATATTCCCAGTGATTAAAGTACTAAATGCCAGTAATGTAAAACAGTGTGGCTTCTATCCCTCACCCATCTCTCTGCTCCACTTTCTCTTCTTTCTCTCTGTTCTACCCCTTGTAGTCTCCAGACAGAGGCGGTCTCCTGGTCCTGGTGACGTTGCTGTGATTATGTACACCAGTGGCTCTACAGGGGTTCCCAAGGGTGTCATGATTTCCCATAGCAACCTCATTGCGAGCATTGCTGGAATGGCAGAGAGAATCCCTGACCTTGGGTATAAATGAAAGCACTTACATGGCTTCTTAAATGGATTGTGGTATTCTGTGATTGTGATCCGTGTTTATGTTCTGACACTTAGGCCAGGGTTTTAGTACAAACATAGCAAACATAACAATCACAGTAACAGTATGTTATATGTTCCAGTAAATCTTGAATAAGATGTTGAGGTGAAAAGATTTGACATTCCCATGTATGGCTCAGTGTTTAGAGAGTCCAGTTTTTACTGCTGAATGCATGCGAACACACATGCACACAGATATATTACAACCCCATTTCCAAAAAAGTTGGGACGCTGTGCAAAATGTAAATAAAAAACAAAATGCAATGATGTGTAAATCATTTAAACCCTATATTTCATTGAAAATGCTTCAAAGACAACATATCAAATGTTGAAACTGAGAAACTTTATTGTTTTTTGAAAAATTTTGAATTTGATGCCAGCAACATGTTCCAAAAAAGTTGGGATGGGGGGCAACAAAAGGCTGGTAAAGTTGTGTAATGCTACAAAAAACACCTGGTGCTTGATTTGCAACAGGTTAATAACATGATTGGGTATAAATAGAGCATCCCAGAGAGGCTGAGTCTTTCAGAAGTAAAGATGCGGGGGGGTTCACCACTCTGTGAAAGACTGCGCGATCAAATAGTGCAACAATTCAAGAATAACATTTCTCAACATAAAATAGCAAAGAACTTTTGCTTTTCATCATCTATAGTACATAATATCATTAAAAGATTCAGAGGATCTAGAGAAATCTCTGTATGCAAGGGACAATACCAAAAACCAGTATTTGCTGGCTGTGATTTTTGGGCCCTCGTGCGGCACAGACATGATTCTGCAGTGGAAATCACTGCATGGGCTCAGAAAAACTTCTGAAAAACACTGTCTGTGAACACAGTTTGTTGCTGCATCCACAAATGCAAGTTAAAACTCTAAAACCCAAAGAAGAAACTGTACATAAACGGGATCCAGAAATGCTGCCACCTTCTCTGGGCTCGAGCTCATTTAAATTGGCCTGCCTGCAGTCCAGACCTGTCACCACTGAACATTTGGCACATTATGAAATGAAAAATATGACAAAGGAGACCCTGGACTGTTGAGTAGCTGAAATCTTATGTTAAGCAAAAATGGGAAAACATTTCACTTTTGGTCTCCTCAGTTCCCAAATGCTTACAGAGTGTTGTTAAAAGAAGAGGTGATGCAGCACAGTGGTAAACATGTCCCCATCCCAACTTTTTTGGAACGTGTTGTTGGCATCAAATTCAAAATGGGTTTATATTTTTCAAAAAACAATAAAATTTCTCAGTTTCAACATTTGATTTGTCTTTGTATTATTTTCAATTAAATATAGGGTAAATTTTTATTTACTTTTTGCACAGTGTCCCAACTCTTTTGGAAATGGGGTTGTATATTATACTGTGTATAATATTATATATGCACTTAGTTGGCAGTTTACTAGGGACTTTGTATTACTGGCCATTTTATGAGATACATTTACCATATAGGGGCACTTTGAGGGTTTACAATTACAGTTACTCATCTGTTGCAGCACAATTTATTAGTCACCCTCTACCTCAGTCAATGACAAGGTATCACCATATCACTGACCAGATATTATTTGGCAGACCTTTGGTGGTCACATTCCATAGCAGGGGGGTGACAGATTGTGCAGCAACAGTTGGGTTACAGTCAGTAATTGTAAATCTTCAAAATACACATATGGTAAATAAAACGGCCAAAGAGTGTAGATACAAGGTGTGTGTACCAAATAAACTGGCAACCCGGTGTATATTGTTCTCAGACTAATTCTATTCCTACCTACTGTATTTCATCATGTGCTTGTCACTGAGTGTACTCTGTACATGCTGCCATAAGGGTGCCATGCATGTTTGTATCAAGGATTTGACATGTATGGGCCAAAAGGATACAGTTAATTACTGAACTTCAAAGTCTTGTGCTGTAGTCATGTTTTACTTGTTCTTTGAATTCTGTAAACCTCTTTCTATGTGCTCTGTGTTCATGCTGGTAACACATTTACTGATAAAAATATATTTATGTATTATTAGCTCTCTTTAGCTAGTCTAAAATGATTTTTAGAGATTTTATTTATTTATTTAAATCTCTACATGATGCATTTGCGAAAAAAGACAATAGCAATAATTCTCTTATTAATAGCAGAGGGGAAAGAGTGGAGGAAATAAGCCTGTAACTAAAGCTGCCTAATTTTACTTGTTAGGGAAGAGAAAGGCACTACTGAGCATAAACAAATCCTTAAAAATGATATTCACTAATAACAAGCATGCACAGGCTGTCAGAGCCTTTGAAAAATATATGTGTCATTCATTATGTGGTGGTGTTACAAGCAGCACCTACTGAACAAAATCCGTTATGCCACTAGCAAAAAAAGCCTTATATAGATAACATAGCATGCTAACATAGCTAACAGTGGATGAGCGAGAATAGCCACCAGTTAGCATGATTGATTTTATAATGCTGAGTGGTAGTTACATTTATTCACTATTAACACCACAAGGGTTTATGGTTAATCAATTAGTGTATGGTTTATCAGATGCTATCTTTGCAAGTAAAGAATGAAAGCAAGTGGTCATGAGTAAATATCAGGCAAATGAGAGTCTTGCTTCAATTTGTCAACCACATTAGATGTAAAGGTAACATGTTCCTTTAAATAGATTTTTTTTGTCATTGCAGTGTGAATGATACATACATTGCATACCTACCTTTGGCACATGTCCTGGAGCTCAGTGCAGAAATGGTGTGTGTGGCTTATGGCTGTAGAATTGGATACTCCTCACCCCAAACACTTGCGGACCAGGTAAATAGAGACAAATTTTGTGTCGTTATTGGTTTCACAAGTACATATATACATACTATATTAATCTTTTAAAAAAAAGTAACACAATTACACGTACATGGTGAACAAGTTCATCATTTGGTTTGGTAACATTTGACATTGACTAGTGGTTCAAATGGGCATAGATAGATAGAAAGAGAGAGAGAATCATGTGAAAAAAGTAGGTGCATCCTATGAAATGTTTGAAACAAAGAATTTGAAGTAATTTGATCTTCAGTTAAATCATATGCATAGATAAACATTATTTAATAGAACAATAACAATGGAAATTTGACTTTCCAATCATTTATTTAAAAACAAGTAACTGAGATGTCATTCTGTCTGTTGAAAAAAGTCAGTACACTCCCGGCTTCAGTAATTGGTACTGTCTCCTTTGACAAAAGCAACTTTATGTAGGCATTTCCTATAACTGTCTACCAGTTTCTGACATCTACTGGGAGAATTTTTGCCATTCCTCCATGCAGAAATTGTGAGATGTTACACTTGCATGTACAGGCTGTTTCAAATCACACCCATCCCGTATTGTAATGGGATTCAGATCAGGGCTTTGGCAAGGACATTCTATAACCCTCCATTTCTACTTCCTTTTGAGTCATTTGGTGGGGTTACTTGTATGTTTGGCATCTTTATCCTGTTGGAAGGTCCACTTGTTCAGCTTTTACAGTTGGTCTAATATTCTCTTTAAGCACTCTGTGGTATGAAAAAGAATTCATAGTTGGTTCTATTATTGCAAGTTGGCCAGGCCCTGAGTCGGCAAAGCAGCCCCAAACCATAAAATTTACATGCTTCACAGTTGGTATGAGGTTCATCTGATCAAATGCTGCCTTTGGTTTTCACTGAACATGGCTTCTGGTACTGTGGCCAAACTCTTCTGTCCATTGCACTATGTTCCAGAAGTCCTAGTCCTTGTCAGGGTATACTTTAGTCTTGCCCCAGTGTTCTTTTTAGACAGCAAAGGCTTCCTCCTAGTGCACCTCCCATGTAGGTCAAATTAGTGCAGTCTTTTTCTAAAGGTAGATGCATGCACTTTTACATCAACAGTGGCAAGAGCTACCTGCAGATGCTCTGATGAAATTTTGGGTTTCATGGCTTATGGCTGCTCTCAGGTAACATTTGCTGGGACCGCCTGGTCTGGACAAGTTGGCAATGGATTTAAATCTTCTTCACTTGTAGATGAACTTCTGGACAACAGAATGGTTAATTTTCAATATTTTGGATATATTCTCCAACCCCTTCCCAGCCTTATATATAATTTCCTTTTTGAAGGAATTCTCTTTTGATCTAGGCATGATCGAATAAATAAAAATGAGCAAACCAGACCAGATATCTGTTGAAGTTTAAATAAGACTGATAACTGTGTGGTCTCTCTCACTCTCTCTCTCTTTCTCCATACACACACACATTATTTATATTTGAATAATCGAAACATATTGTCCGGCCTGATGTTGGTCAGACAATTTGAGATGTGACCAATTCAAATCGACGAGCTTGTGGAGCAAATGTTTAAAGCAATAACTGGTTGATTTTTTTCTATAATGGAGCTGGACATGTAAACAGTTTGCAGCACCTCTTACAGTACCACCAAAACAAACATGCTGTAAAAGCGGTTATTGCTGCGTGTTTTTAAATAAAGTATATTTGTCTTGGTTCAGTCCAGGTGTTTAGACTTCCTTGCTTTTTTCTTTCTAGTCTACGAAGATTAAGAAGGGAAGTAAAGGAGACAGCTCTGTTCTACAGCCCACATTAATGGCAGCTGTACCGGTACAGTCATCTCTTTCCATCTCTCTTTCTCAAGTCTCTTTCTCTCTTTCTCAAGTCTCTTTCTCTCTCAGTCTCTCTCTGGGATTTTGGGAATCGGATGCCTGGAACAGTTCACAGCTGTAAACAGAACGTGAGAAAGCCCACTGTGGCTTTCCTTACGACATACTGCATACACTCACACACATACATACACACACTCTCTCTTTCCCTCTCTCTCTCACTCCCTCACTCACTCACTCACTCACACACACACACACACACACACACACACTCACACTAAATGTACCCTAACCTTGGTCAATAAGTCTCCATGCTCCTTATAGCTTTAGAGGGAATTCAACCAGTTTTTCAAAATTTCTGCTTAATTTTAATTATCGGGATGCAAGTAAAGTAATTTAGTGGTTCTAGATACATTTACTAAGTCAGAATTGTTCACAGTGGTTCACATTGTTTTACAATAGTTTCAAGATAAGTCCTAAAATAAAATAAGGCCTAAAATTCATTTTTTATTTATTAATGTTTTTCAGAGGCACATGCAGGACATTTTAAGGTGACATAGGACAGAAAGAAAGCTTATGTTTTCAGATTTAACATTGTTTTATCATTATCAACATTATGTATAAATACTCAAAAGACCTGTGTATGTGCACTGGTCATTTTGGATAGTAAATAAAATGGCTTTATTTGTGTTCTAGACATCACAAACCCTCGTTCTTATCACCACCACAAAATACAGTAAATCATTCTACATCAAACTACTCTGAAGAACATTATTTACATCTCACTGATGGAATTTTGCAAAACATTAAAAAAATTTGTTGGATTTGCTATTTAATGCTAAACAGACAGAACAAGCACACACTCAAACAGTAGTGAAGACATTGCTCCTAAATGTTAAACAACAATTACAGAAACATTTGGAAAGCCCTTGGGGAAGAGGTGTAGTGGTAGTAGTGGAGCACAAATTAGGCACAAATTAATGAGGAGTAAATCCATCACTTCTGCTAGAACTCCTACTGGGGTCTGTTTTCGAGCTGGTGATGGTTGATCTCTGCACAAGCTAAAATTGTTCAATCCTAGACATGGTTTATCTGCCTCACTGAGTTCCGTACCTGTTCATGTTAACGTGTCCTCACAGCAATCATGGATTTAATTCTCATTTACATTCTTTTTAAATAGTCCTCAGGTAGGCTTTTACCTTTAGTCATTTTTTCAGTTACTTGTCTAATGACTAGGCTCAATTCATTTGTACATTCATTAGTCATTTTTTTGTCCATTATTTACATAACACGTATTTCTTCTGTTGTTTCAGTGTTTTGCTATCCAACGTCAACCAAAGGAGCATAGGCCTCCCTTTTGAGTCTTGTTTCTTCTTTCTTTGCTTGCTCAATAGGATTTCTATAAAGTTACTTTGTGACAAAACTCGCAATGCAAAAACATCTCAATTGAACACAGATTTTTTTATGTAGTTCAACAGTTTCAGTAAGAACATGATTTCATTCATCATCTCACATACTGTATGGTTATTTTTACGGTTATCAGACACAGTTCACACAGAAGACATTTTTGTATCATGAAAGTAACTGTTCATCATTTTTTGATTACTGACTCTTGTTTGTAGGTCACAGAATTCACACCTGCATTTATCTATCTATCTATCTATCTATCTATCTATCTATATATCTATCTAACCAGTTTTATTTCTGTTCTCTTTCTCATTTGTTATATTCTATCTTATGCTGTCTTCACAATATCTCTCTTCTCTTGCCATTCATAGAGTTATTCTGACGTCTGTAATATTTCCTGATGACTTTTTAAACTGTCCAGATCTAGATCCTCTCAAGCTATGAAACTCCCAAACACAGAGAACAGAGCTGCTGCAGCTGGTTTGTGAGTGTGTGTGTGTGTGTATGTAATATAATGACTCAGGTGATGTCATTGGTTATGTCTGGAGCAAAGAGGCTCAGCTGCCTCAAAATGACAGCCCTGTTTCTCTTTCTCTCTCAGTCTAACTTTCTCTCTCTTTGTAGGAGATCATGGATCGTGTCTATAAGAATGTGATGCTGAAAGTGGAGGAGATGGGTGTAGTGCAGAAAACTCTTTTTATACTGGCCTACAACTATAAGATGGAGCAGCTGGCTAAAGGCAGTAGCACTCCACTTTGTGACAAGTATGTCAAACACAGAATTCCACACAAACGTTTTGAACGTTCAAAAATGTACAGAATGTTTATTTTGTTACTTTTAAACATAGCCACAATACTTATGCAGTCTCTCAAATATCATGTGACCTTCATATCCTCCATTCTCCCTTCCCTCCATCTCTGTCTTTCACTCTCTCTGTCCCCCTTTCTGTTCCTCTCTGTGCAGGCTGGTTTTCCAGAAGGTGCGAGCGTTGCTGGGTGGGCGAACACGGGTTTTGTTGTCAGGTGGTGCACCTCTGTCAGCGGCAACACAACGTTTTATGAATATCTGCTTATGCTGCCCTGTGGGCCAGGGCTATGGCCTGACTGAAACCTGTGGAGCTGGAACCATCAGTCAGCGTGAGTGTTTGTCATTGTCATCATTTTTTGTTAAAGCTGTCACTTTATATTAATCTGTACTGTAACTAAATAATCTACTTATTATTTTGATAATTTATTGACTAATCTGAGTCCAAACGATAAAATGGAACAGAACATTAACAAACTATCAGTGATATGCACAGGTACTCAAGTACCTGGTGACCATTCCAGGTTCCAGTATTTGAATAATAAACTCTCTTTTGGGTGTTTATTGTGGTGCACCATGGAAAGTCAGGGAGAAAAAAATACAAGCCAACAGTGAACATTTTATCAGGGCTGTAAAGTGCAGTAGTTTTGCTCGTGATTTGTGATTAAAGTATATTACCCATACTGCTACAAAATATGTTAACAATTATGATTTTTTGTTGTCAGGTGGTGCACCTGACACACTGCCATGGACAAGTGTTAACAGGCCCCACAGTTACATATATTTCACATTGAAATTTCAAGTACAAATCCATTGGCAACTCTACCCAATTTTTATATGTAATTGCAATTAACATGTTATAAATCATGTATCTCTACGGCAGGGATGGGGGAGTAGCTAAGTAGCGTGCTACTTTTTGTAGTTAACTACAAATTTTTGTAGCTAATAGCTGTAGCGGCTACAATTTTCGGAAATGTAGCTAATAGCTGTAGCGCCTACAAATTTTCGTGTAGCTATAGTGATAATTTTCGCTACAGTTTCGCTACAAGCTTCAGGTAATCCACGCAAAATCTGAACCACAGAACGCGGTCGTTAACTGGGCCAGTGGCGATTTGTGCAATCCTGACTGAGCCACGGACAGTTCGAGCAAACGGTCACACACTATGAAGTCAGATTCTCATTTACCAGCTTCTTGTTCAAATTGTCCTGTTTCACCTTAAATGGTGCATAAGGTGCCAGAATGTACATTACTGCTGTGCCATTTATGGTGGTGAAGTATATTTAAAAAGGAACCTTTTGATAGAAGAAGGTAAAAACACTCTTTCACTAAGTTGAGGTGGTAGTATCCTGTGTGCTCTGTTTGTGCAGAGGCTAGGAATGTGAATTGGGGGGCCCCTTGGTCCAAAGCCCCATTGGGAGTAGGCCTCTCACTTTCTCCCTTCTTCTCTTAGTTCCAAATAGATGAGATCATTTTAAAAAGAACCATATGTTCTGTCTCCTGTTTCAACAACAAGAACCATATATATAAGCTGTTGGTCATTCTGTTCTGGAGGGGACATTTAGAATTAGCACAGATCCTCTCTCAGGTACTTTATAGTGCTTGATATGATACTGTTTTATTTTGTAATAAACTTTTTATAAAGAGAACACAGTGTCAGCGGAGTTGTCCATCATCTTCACATCATCGCTACTTAATAAACAACAGTGGAACGGGAGAATTTGAACAAGAAGCTGACTTCACGACTTGGTGTTTGACACTAAAATATTGATGTTCGTCTTAAATCTGGGAACAGAATATTATGCCTCCTTTTTTATATGAACTTTTATTTGTTCTCTGGGAGCGCTGTCACTGAATTATGGCCAATCAAAATCTACCTCTCAACCCTCCAGTCACTGCTTAATTGTTGCTGTCCACAATTACTTCAGTAATTAGCGCCTGTGACGTTCGTAACTAGCGTTAGGATTCCAAGCTCCTCAGAAATATCTCAGGGTTTTATGAGATTCAAAAAGCAATGAAACTACACAGTGAGCAGTGAGAGGTTCTCTCTGTACGAGACGCTACACAGCCCAGAGAAACAGAGTAACTTTGACTTCTTGAGATGTTCAGGTATGCAGCACACTAAGCTAACACATAACATCGCTATGGCAAAAATGTAGCTAGCTGAGAGTTTATGAGCACAATTAACATATTAAGATTATAAAATGAAAACCCTATATTTCATTTTTTTTGCTTGGACTGCTCTTAACGTGGCTAGCCAAATCAGCATGCTTTAGTCTAGCTCCAGTAGCTGCTCAGTTTAGGCTACAGGCTCCATAGTAGGCTATATTAGAGATTAAATGTGAAATTAAAGTTATATTGTGTTACCTACTCATAACATACTACAATCAACATGAGAAAGTTCACTGTTAACCAGCATATTGACGGTATAGTATCATGTAGCAAACATTAAGAAATCAGCGGGTACATTAGACTATATTTTGTCTCATTAACTATATGAGTAGCCAACTTTCCCTTTAGCTGGGCCTTGGTACAGACAGCCTTTTTATAACATATGTTTAATGTGTGCTTTTACAATGATTGGTGAGTACAGAGATGCAAAAGAGACAAGCAAGGATAGAGAGAGAGATGTAAATGTAACAAAATCAATTTGGAGCAATCACCAGATTTAATGTAGGTTTAATGTATTTTTTAAGCTGAAAATAAACATATAAATAAATAGTTAAATGATTAATTAAACTTAAACAGGGCAATTGAAGTCAAATAAGTTTATAGAACATTAATAGCAGTTTATGGAAGAACAGAGGGATGAAGAAGGAACAAATGAAAGAAAAAGGTGCATAACAGTTATAGACGGGTGAAAAAGAGCAGTGATTGAATAAAAAAACAAAAGGAGAAACTTATTGTTGCTTTAATACTCATAGTTATTTTAATCACAATTAGATGTAAGTAACATTTCTGCAAAACTGACCTCACAAAAATTCTGATCCTAGTTACGGCTCTTTTTATAACATATGTTTAATGTGCAAACCTACATTAGCAGTTATACGTTAACTCCAGCATTTAAGACCATTTATTGTTAAAACTGTGTTCGGCAGAGCTTTATTTTACTGCAAAGGATGATTATTTTATCTAAAAATCTAGTTCTGCTGTGGAGCCGTAACAGGGCAGTTAAAGAGCCGCATGTTGCTGACCCCTGCCTTAGCTAAAGTGGAAAAAACATTTTCGTAATAGACTATTACTAATAGTACTCCGCAGAGCCAGGGTCACTGATAAAAATTTTGAGGCTGAAGTGTTGCTGAAGTTTAACAAAGGACTCTGAATATCATGTCTGTACATTTCTTGCTGAATGTTTAAATTGGAGCAGCTATATTTCAACAGTTGACAATGCTTTGCACAAAATTGTTTGGTTTGTATCCGGTTATTTTTGTTGATTTTTGTTAGGAAAAATCTGGAATGATTGACTTTTTGCCTTCACTTAATCTACATTATTATTGGATATCACACCTTTGGTTGTGTAAGTTTGATTGTTGGTGACACTTAAACTTACTTTTTGGTGATCTTTTTGTGTATTTGCAGCTTTTCAATTGTATGTTTCTTTCTGGCACATGACTAAATACAGTGTCTTGTTCACACTGTCAGTTGGGCTTGTTTGGTGTGTCAGGTAGAGATACACAAACATTCTGACAATCGAGCTTTGAAAGTGGCTAAAAAGTAGTGCACTACTTTTCAAAAAGTAGCTAAAAAGTAGCCACTACTTTTTCTGGAAAAGTAGCTACATTGTAGCTAGTTGCAAATTTTGGGAAAGTAGCTACAAAGTAGCTAACTACAAATTTTTCAGTAGCTATCCCAACCCTGCTTTACTGTTCTGGTGTTCACGACAGCATGTGTAAATCCAGCAGAAAGTTTTTGAGGGGGTCCATTTTGCTCATAGTTTGCTTGTGGATTTATGAAGGTTTCCTAAATGAGGCCCATTAACTCTTAGAGGTACTAGAATATCAAAATTAGTCAGTGTGCACATTTCTACAAACTATACAGGGCTCATCAGGGTGCCCAAAAAAATCTACGTTATTGGAAAAGACAACTAGGAAGACTCTGTATAATCATATAACCATAAACCTGTAACCGCCATACACATAATTATAGCAGTGCTTAAAGCATGTGATAGCGTCTGATTTCCCTGCTCAAACACGCCTGGTTAATGTTAGCTTTTAATTACTGAGCTAGCGCTAGATGCCAGCCCTCTGGGCTTGGCATTGAAAAACCCTGGTTTAGATCAAGTTTGTTGAGCAAAACGACATCAACTCCAAAGATGCAATTTGAATGGTAATCAGAATGCTCTGATTATGTGTATATGTGTTGCAGTTTGGGACTACAGCACGGGGAGGGTAGGAGCTCCTCTGGTCTGCTGTGAGATCCAACTGAAAGACTGGGTTGAGGGTAAGTCTCTCTTTCTCTCTCTCTCTCACCCACACACACACACACACACACACACACACACACACACACACATCCATCTACCCTTACCAAAACACTGTCATGAAGTTTACCCATCCATCATTTGTTAAGTCCATTAGTTTGGGGCATGGAGTTAACAATAGGCAAGTACGTCTACTGAGGAGAGAGAAAGAGAGAGAAAAGATGGAATGAAAAAAGGCAGAAATATTGACAGTCATTCTGACCTTGTAAGGAAAGCCAGTCTTAACAGCTACAGCTAATCTCTTTTGAAACACTGCCATGTCATTCTTTATAACTAGACTTCATATGCTTAGCCTGTTCTTATTCGTCTTTCCTGTATGTTATGTAAGTTCTGTTCTGCTTTTTCACTATATTCTATACTATTAATTTCTTTTCCATTCTCTTCTATTATATGCTATATGGCTATTCTTTTGTATCATTAAAGTGAACTTGAAAGCAATTTTTTTCACCTTGTTCATTCGTGTCCCAGGTCATATTAAGCATAATTCGTCACACCATACCATTTTATTTAGGGAAAAAAAAAACTTTTTTTTGCTTAATCTCTGAAAACTTATTCTACACACTGATTGTGTTACAGTGCACTGGAGTGTGTAAAAATGTTATCACTATTGTCATGTAACATCAAAATAAACAGAAATATCATGTTTCACCTTCTTCCTCCACTACCGATCAAACATTCAACTAGCTCAGAAACTAATACTGTGTTTCACTTGAATCAAATACATGATTTCCAGTTCACACTGGAAATACAACCTTATATGCAGTTTCTTCTTTGCGCTTAAGAGCTTTAACTTGCATTTGTGGATGCAGCGACAAACTGTTTTCATACTGTTTTCAGAAGTGTTCCTGAGCCCATGCAGTGATTTCCTCTACAGAATCATGTCTGTTTTTAATACAGTGCCACCTGAGGGCCCAAAGATCATGGCCAGCAAATACTGGTTTTTGGTCTTGTCCCTTTCATGCAGAGATTTGTCCAGATTCTCTGAATCTTTTAATTGATATTATGTACCTTAAATGATGAAAAGCAAAAGTTTTTTGCTATTTTTCGTTGAGAAAAGTTATTCTTGAATTGTTGCACTATTTGACTATTTGAGTGGTAAACTCCTCCTCATCTTAACTTCTGAAAGACTCAGCCTCTCTGGGATGCTTTTTTTATACCCAATGATGTTACTGACCTGTTATCAATTAACCACTAGGTGTTTTTTAGCATTACACAACTTTACCAGCCTTTTGTTTCCCCTGTTGGCATCAAATTCAAAATGGTAAAATACATTTTTCCAGAAACAATAAAATTTCTCACTTCAACATTTGATATGTTGTCTTTGTACTTTTTCCATTTAAATATAGGGTTTAAATGATTTGCACATCATTGCATTTTGTTTTTATTTACATCTTGCAGAGCGTCTCAACTTTTTTGGAAATAGAGTTGTATGATTTTTGGTTTATCTTGGCTTGAAATGGTCCATTTCTTGGAAAAGTGAAATAAATATTTGTAACAATTTAAATGTTGTTAAAGTTTGATAAATGTATCTAGTTCAGTTTAAAATCCTGGTTCAGCACTCACTCTTATTTTTGGTGGTCTTTGACCCTGTGGTATTGGTGCACCAGGCCAGTTTGCTCACAATCATCATAACTTACTTCTCATCTTTTACTGTCTATTTAGGTGGTTACCGGAGCACAGATAAGCCCTGTCCACGTGGGGAGATTCTGATTGGTGGGCCCAGTGTAACCGTGTACTATAAGAATGAAACAATGAATCGAGAAAATTTCTTTGTGGATAAGAATGGCCAGCGGTGGTTCTGCACTGGAGACATTGGCGAGTTCCAAGCAGATGGCTGCCTCAAGATCATTGGTGAGAGCCACAAAATTGTTCCTGCTGACAAAACTGAATGCTTGGCTTGGAAAGTACAATGATTCCAGGGACTGCAGAAATTTGTTAATAACTAACTCTTTTCTCACTGGAAATTAATGTCCCTGAAAAAAATAAACACAATGAACTAAACTAAACTTACCAGTACAAGGATGTATATAGCTGTTTATAAAATATTTGTCTACTGGGCTACAGTGTGCTGGTTGTCTAAGCGCCAGTGTATAGATAAATATAGTCTAAAAGAGTGTGAGTGCACAAGAGAAACTAAAGCGGGAGAGAGAGAAGGAGAGGTCGTTAGAAACGGTACAATACACTCCTTCCAACTCTTTGACAGCACTGAACTTTGTGTTTCATTTCCCAAATATGAAATCATCCATTCCCCCCTGCTTCCTGTAAAGCATTTTTTTCAAAAGAGCCTTACTATTGAACAGAGCTATTTGGGATTATACATTTTGTACACTGTGTATTCATTTTGGACTTTGATTTTGTGGTTGATGTTGCTTTTGTTATAAATTGTTTTTTTAAGATTAGGTGCAGTGTGATAAACGTTCTATTGCTGCAAATCAGTGTAGCTGGAGTCAATTCTGGTCTATGTCTGGCACTCGGACATGAGAAGGATAATAACCGGGGTGGGAGGCGGGGTGCGTTCTACATTTGTGAGGAACAAAATGTCCTCACCAGTATAATGACGTGGAAAAAATAAGTTGGGTTAGGTTATAGCTAACGTTCGTGATGAATGTTAAGCAAAGGGTTAGAGTCATATGCTTGGTCAAAACTTGTTTTAGTAATATAGCTATGTGTATTTGTTTATGCTTATTTATGCAGACCGTAAAAAGGATCTGGTGAAGTTGCAGGCAGGGGAGTATGTGTCTCTGGGGAAAGTGGAAGCCATGCTGAAAAACTGTCCTCTTGTTGACAACATCTGTGCTTATGCCAACAGGTACCATGTGGACAACATGTTCACTTCTCTTGGTCCGGACAAAAGCAGAAAATGATGCATTGTTGCATTTTATCTCTGGTTTCCTTAGTGTTCACATTAGCATATTTAACATGAACCAGAAGATGTAAACAAAACTCATACAAGTAAAAGATCACAACTGATTGGGCAGATTTTATTTTGTACAGTAACTGTTATAACGTCTAACAAATCTTCTGAATCATACTTTCTCTGTTCTATTTGGGTATGATGGTTTTATTTATGTCTTGTTTCATATGTCTTGTATTAGAGTGTAAGCCATGAGTTTCCTTGCGATAATGTGGTTTTGCACAACACAAAGCAGGGTGAAATACTTTTAACACAGCCTTGAGTGGTTTACTGCTTTTACAAAATGGAGAAACCTTGGCACCTTAATGTATAACATAACTACATACATACATACATCATCTAAACCGCTTCTGGGTCGCGGTGGGGTGCTGGAGCCTATCCCAGCTGTCATTGGGCGGAAGGCAGGATACACCCTGGACAGGTCGCCAGTCCATCGCAGGGCAGACAGACAGACATACACATTCACACACTCACTCAAACCTAGGGGCAATTTAGCATGTCCAATTAGCTTAACTGCATGTTTTTTGGACTATGGGAGGAAACCAGAGTACCCAGAGGAAACCCACGCAGACACGGGGAGAACATGCAAACTCCACACAGAAACGACCCTGGTCGCCTGGCCGAGAATCGAACCCAGGCCATTCTCGCTGTGAGGACACTGTGCTGCCCTATAACATAACTAATCTATCAAAAGTATCTGTTCCATAATTTCTCATTCAGAGCTTATGAAGAGATGATAAAACACATGCATGTCTCAAAACAGCATTAGAAACTTGTCTTTTCCACATACTAAGAAGTAATGCGAAGAGGAGATGACGATTCATTCTGTCTTTGTTCAGTTTGGACAACTTTGTTCTGTACTGCACTGAGTTTGTTTTGAAGCGAACTGCCTGATTATCCTGCAGTGTGGGCCAGGCATTACCTGTATTGAATGCAATATGACACCACACCTATGACACTGCCTAGCCTGCTTGTTGTTTTGTTCTTTATATTGACAAAAAAGTAATTTGACTGAATATTACAGAGCAGTCATCACGATGATATTATTTCCACAGTTGCTCAAAACATTTTATTGAATAAGATTAAACTTAATTTTTCATATGCACTGAGAAAGTACTTTAGTGGTATCATGTATTTTTTTGTATTTCTATAGCTCACTGTCTACAGAATCCTGCTGCACAGTATACTTTTCAAATTTATATATTTGGCACACACACATATATATTATGGCAAAAGATAGCAGAGGTCTTTACAGAATTATTCACCTCATTCACACAAGGTTTTTAGTTTTTTCCTAGGACATTACAAATAGTCTGAGATGCTTTCTCCCTCCCTCATATCCACAGTGATGAGTCATATGTAATCGGCTTTGTGGTGCCCAATCAGAAACAGCTATTATCATTGGCAGAGAAGCGGGGCATCTGTGGCACGTGGCTGGAGATCTGCAGTAACCCTGTAATGGAGGAGGAGGTGCTAAAGATCATCAATGACACAGCACTGACAGGTGAACCATAATCTTAAATGTTTTTCATTCTATAATAACAGATCATGATCACTGTCTTGGGCTAGTCAGGTTAAGTCAGAGTGAATCATCTACAATGTAGCACAGACACAACAAAACATTTCCAAAGAAATTTAAATAAATTTTAATTACTTAATTCCTTACTAAATTTCAAATATTCTTTAAATTATCGAATTCCCATACCAACATGAAAATTATGTTTAAAATGTATTAAAGAGATTTAGTTTAGTGCTGGTTTGTTTGTTCTGTCACTTTATCAGTGCTTTGATTTAAACTTCTTGAATGAAATCAGGAGTTTTTTGTTTTATCTTTTTTTTTTTTTCATTTTGGAATTATTGAGCATATAAATGATAGATATCTTTTTTCTTTTGTTGTCAATATTTCTTTCTAATACATTATGGCCATACATTTCCTGTTATCTTTAAACAGCCCAGCTGGAGAGGTTCGAGATCCCACAAAAAATCTGTTTGAGCTCAGAGCCATGGACTCCAGAGACGGGCCTTGTAACTGATGCTTTTAAACTCAAGCGGAAAGAGATAAAATCACACTACCAGCACGATATTGAGAGGATGTATGGAAACATGTGAATTCAGATCAAAACTAAGCTAGATCTGAAACGTAAATGGGCCTTGATGGTCACAGTTAGAATCTTTTATTATGATAGCATCCCAGCCACAATCAGAGATATCTGGCCTCTGCGATCAAGACATTTATCATCTTTCAATTTTCCAACACACATGGCTGACAAAAATATACTTGTAAGGAACTACAAGTTGTAACAAAAGCTTCCAACAAGATTCTGTTATTATTTGTAAAACTTCCTGGTTTGTTTGTAAATTCTGTAAAAATGCTATGCATTGTAGCCAGAATACATACTGTACATTTAGTAAAGAATGCACAATAACTGTTCTAAAAAGATGTCTCAAACATTCACACACAAAAGCTAAATAACTTGTGGTAACATACTGTACATTTAGTAAAGAACGCACAATAACTGTTCTAAAAAGATGTCTCAAACATTCACACACAAAAGCTAAATAACTTGTGGTAACACTTTGGACCCAACCAGAGACCAATTACTCACAACATGTAACCCCTTTTCTTCACACTGGGGACCTTTTATACCAGCCTGAATTACTCATATAAATTGTTGAATTTTTTTCCTTCATCCACATCTTGAAATTGTGTTTTCTTTATATCCATATGTGGCCTTTGGCTGAGATCAAATTTGTATACTGTCATGATTCTTTAGCTGATTCTCATTCCCATGTCATCATGCATACATCTTCAACAGCTGATCTTTCTTCCTGCTAGATATGTGATGGCACGCTTCTACTAAAATCAGAGACTGGGAAAAGTATGCAGTTTACATGTTCAGTTTACATGTTTTACTTTATATATTTAAAATGATGCAAATCTCAAAGTATCCATCAAAACATTCCTGCTGACTGATTGCTTTCTTTTGCTGATTGGTTAAAATAAAGAAAATACACTATATGGCCAAAAGTATGTTAAGTGCCTTAACATCTCACTTACATGAGCTTGTTGAACCCCTCCTTTGCAGCTACAACAGCCTCTATTCTTCTGGGAAGGCTTTCCACTACATTTTGGAGTGTGTGTGCCTGAAAGTTTGGGGAATTACCGATTCAAAAATAACTGGAAAGGGCCTTCCTAAAACTGTTGTCACAAAAGTGGAAGCATATATAGAGACCAACTTTTACTGGGCTCACAGATAGTGAAGCAAGATTCATCACTCCAGAGAACACATTTAATTTGCTCAGAGTTGTGTGGTTTGTCTGAAGCTGTTTAGCCATGGAAACCCATTTCACAAAGATTGTGCTGATGTGGTTTCCAGAGGCAGTTTGGAACTTTGTAGTCAGCGATGCAACAGACGTCAGATTATTTTTACATGTCACGTGCATCAACACTCAGCTCTGTGGGCTTGTGTGATCTACCCCTTTGTGGCTGCACTGTTGTTGCTCCTAGCCACCATTTTACAATAGTAGCACTTGCAGTTGACTGGGGCAGGCCTAGCAGGGCAGGAATTTCACAAACTGACTTGTGGCAAAAGTGGCATCCAATGAAAGTACTATTATTTTTAAAAGTCAGTGAGCTTTCAGTACAACTAATTCTACTGCCAGTGTTTATCTGTGGAGATTGCATGGCTTTGTGCTTGATTTTATACAGCTGTTAGCAATAGGTGTGGTTAAAACACTTGAACTCAAAGGGCACTTTTTATGCTTCAAAACTCTATAAAAATTTCCTTTTTTGCTGTATTTTTTGTTGTAATTTTTTGCTGTATTTTTCTAAAATGTACAGCATTTTTTTTTGCAAAAAATTTTTAAGGGAATGTATAAATGGTGTTTAAAAGCTTGTGTCAATTAATTTTCTAGCAAGAAATACATATATTTATGAAATGCTCTTAGAACCTTTCAAATAAATAACAAAAATCCAAAGCTACAGTTCTTGTATGCATTAAAATTATTAAATATAAACATAAATATAAAAATATTAGTAATTTTAACTAATGGCTCACTATCAAATTGACACTTCTGGTAACATAACCTGCTAAATTAAAATTTTAAGACTTTTCACCAAAATGACTGAAGTACAGTTGAAACCTAGGTAACATGGTTTGAACACAGAGATCATATTCCTCATTAAATTGATATTAATGCAGTAAAATATATATATACACAATATCAAGCAGAAGTGAAAGGTTTTTTTTTATTTTAATAATGTTAAGTTAAAGTACAGATTCCTTCACTTTTTTGAGAAATAAAAAAAATCACTTTATTGCTTATAAAAAGATAATGAGTTGAACTGTATACATGGAAACCAAATAATTAGTAGGGGTGACCATATACTTTTGACCATGTAGTGTGAGAAGCAAGAACCATACAATTACTATATAAACAGCCATTTATTTACAATTTTTTGCGATAGCTTAGTTGGTAAATAATAACACACTTTGTGAAACCTGACAGTGAAAGAGCAAAACTTTAGCCCAGATCTGCACCACTATAAGCTCATTCTCAGCCTCACACTTTTAGCAAAACTCTACACATCGTTTTGTGGACCACTAAACACACTTCTCTACATTAGACACAGAAATCTCACATAATGTCACTTCTTTGCTATTTCAAGGCGCTGCCTTTCAAAATACCACACCTGTGAACCAACTGATCAAACATGGCCATCAGGTGTACAGACACTCAGGTGAATAACTGTAAACGCACCAAACCAAGTGTAAGCAATATAAAAAAGATAACAAGTGAGCTTTTTTAATTCATGATTTCTTTTTTGGCTCTACAAATATTTTTGCTGTGTTTATGTAACGTATTCTATTTAGAAAATGTTCTGTTCTGAATTTCAGTCCAAATGCAACCTTTTGAAATGCATGGATGTGTTGACTGATGTTACAATGTGGAGAGGAATAGAAATTTTCATCAGTGTGCAGGGTTTGGATGTAATGGAATACAAGTATTGGGAATATGTTTTTAGAATACAAAGTATCTGTTTTCAGTTGCAGTTTGTAAAGGCAGTATTCAGAATAAAGTTACTTTTTATATTTATAGGAAAATACTTTCAGAATCTTTTCCCACTAAATAAAAAAAAACAAAACTAAATCTTCAAAAGAAACTCTGATGCTTGTTTTTAAATCAGTGCACTGCATGTAGTAAACATGGTCAGTAGATGAACCCTTAAGAGGACCTCAATAAACAGTTTCTTTACCAAAAAGTATTCTGGCTAAAGCCTGAGTAGACTCATAAATCATGGTGAAGAGTCAGTTATTTATCTCAGTGTTTAGCTCTGCTAAAGCCTGAGTAGACTGATAAGTCAGTGGGATGAGTAGACTGACAAATCAACAGGATGAGTAGCCTGACAAATCAATGTGATGATAAGTTATTAATCTCAGTGTTACTGAGCTCTTTTGAGGGATGATCAAACTAATTATCAGTGGACATGTTTGCAAGTGATAAGCTTAACATCAATGTTGTACAGGACTCTTGCTCAGGAGATTGTGGAAGCAGTAGACTGAAGCAGGCGATGAGAAAGAAAAAAAATGTTAAGAATTTCTAGTCCACATTTAAATCATTACATTTTCCACAAAGACTACAGGAAGAAATCTGCTAACAAGTATCAGCAAGGAACAGTGTGAATCAAGTAAAAAAAATTACAATGTGCTTAATGTATTATATTGTAATTTATTCATGTATTCTAAATGTATTCTGAATATGTTTGTTTCATATATATTGTAACAGAATACATTCTTAACTACATTTTAGGACAGTGTATTCAGTGTTCAGCCATCACGATTTTTTTTTCTAAATATTTTGCCCAATCCTGCCAGTGTGCAGTACTGGTCTTCTGTGCTGTGTTTGGTTATTCATATATTTTACTCTCTGAAAGAACTCAAACCCAGACTATATCATTAGGAAAGCAGAAATGTTAAAGGTGTTTCAGTTTGAGCACAGCAGTGTGTAACTGGTTCAAACAGAATCAGCTCATATGAACTCTGTGTTTGCCATACGGAGACAAAATTGGGTTTTTGTAAATTGTTTTGAATGAAATGTTTCATTCTGCAAAAGATCTGAGGTGTTCTGCTGCTTGTGTATGTGGCTGTATGAACTGTGTGTAGCGTTTGGACAAAATGAGCCCTGTTTTCAAAATTGTGCTTAAGCAATCATAAAAACTGTAACACTTTTTGAAAACTTTCTAGTCTGACAAACCCCAGTGATTCACCCAGTGTTTAAGCTTATAATATTGTATAATTTACTGCTTAGAATTTAAAGGCATTTAGTCTCTGTTATAGATAATTCAAAACAATTTGTTAAGAACACTATTACACCACACGTCCGCTAACCAGGAAATGCCTCAGGGAGACATTAACAAGACTTGTTAGATTTATGTCCGTTTTTTTGGAAAAGGGTGTACCTTTGTACTTTTTTGTACATCCTCAGTCTAAGGAAATGTTTTTATTGAACACATTTCTTTTTAATGCACTGTAATATTGTCAGAACTTTCTTTTTGAGAGCTAATCTGAGATCAGATTTTTTGCTCATTTGCTTCTGATCATTGGGTTGGGGAAAAAGGACAATTTGTGACCATAACCCTCCTTGTTTTCTCTGGTAGTTCCTAGTTTGCCAAGATCACCATGCACAGGAACACAGGTGCCTGTCTGTAATCTCTCCAATTATTTAAGTTTAAGTTTTATTGTCTACAGTCTCTGGTTCTGTGACTGTATTCCACTGTATTTATTTTTAATTAGCCTTGAAATTGATTTCATTACTCTAAATGATTGCTTTTGAAATGAATGACACTAGCCATGTTCACTGGAGTCAATTAAATGTCAATGAAGTCAATTCTGACAATAACGATTATAATATTCTGACCAAGGCTGCATCATTTATGTATGATTACCAAAGATATAGAGAAATGAAGTACCCACCTCTGAGAACAGCATGGACTGACTGGGACATCCCACATTGGGGAAGTGTATAGAAATGCTGTCCTCCTTTTCCTTGTAGTAATGTAGCTAGCTGCATTCTCATGTATAGTGGACTTAGAACCTAAAAGCTTCTGCCAGATGATAATACTTGAAAATCACTGTAATTCTGCTGCTGATGGTGATGATAATGATATCTTTGAGAATTATCCAGATTGTCATTATGAAGACTATTCCTTTATAGTCATAGTCATGTTGTGGTGGACACTGCCAGATACCACTAGACACACCACTAACTCAAACCCTGGATTTCTATTACATGTACAACTGGATACACTATAATAACTGAATACACTATACCACTGATCCCTGTGAGTGTGGCTTTAGCACCCTAAGAAAAACAACTAAAAGTTAGTCTAATTGACAAAATTGTAAAATCTTCATGGAACTTCCTACCCTTGTCCAGACATGGCACGTGGCCCTGAACACATCCTGATGCCAGGATAACAAGAACATTCCCAGCGGGCCAGTAGCTAATTGAGCTGGTTACTGTGTGCACTGATGCTACTTGCCCTCATTGTCTCCCATAAACACATTCACAAACTGTAAACATCACGGCCAAGAAGTCTACATTTGTCCAGCAAATCCACAAACATTAGCAGTAGAATGGGTAATACTGAAGATGACTTTGTGACTTTAAACATGGCATTGTCATAGGATGCCAATTTTAGTTTGTAAAAATTCTGTCCTGCTACATCTGCTGCAGTCAACTGTAAGGGCTCTTATTGTGAAATGAAATTGTCTAGGCGCAAGAACAGCTCAACGAAGCAAGCTCACAGAGTGGGCCACCAAGTGCTGAAGTGTGTAGCACTCTGTTGTTTCACTCACTACAGAACTGCCTCTGGAAGCAAAAGAACTGTGTGTCGGGAGCTTCATGAAATGGGTTTTTATGGTCGAGCAGCAGTACACATGCCAAAGGTCAAAACTCACAATGCCAAGCATTGGCTGAAGCGGTGTAAAGAAAAATGTCAGCAAAATGCTACCTTCCAGACTGCATAGTGCCAACAGTAAAGTTTGATGGAGGGATCAGTATGCTTTTAACTTTGTTGCAACAGTATGAGGGTTGTGGTTAAAGAATAAGATGTCAAACACATATTTTTGGTCACATTTTGGCCACGTATTGTATGTCCAATATCATGTTGTTTGTACCACAGTTACACGGCAAAGTCAGACGAATGACGTTGATAAGAATAAGACAGGACTAGAGGGTAGCAGTAAAAATAAAATTATACAAAGGGCTGTCAGGTTCACGGATTTTCTGTCAAATTGGGATAATTTAAAAATGCAGTTGGGGGTGCAGCCTTGTATGGTACTTTCAATTTTTTACCAAAAGGGTTTAATACTTACAATGCATACAATGCAAATAACATGAAATCTTTTATGCATGTATATTGATCCTGGCACTGTATAGCTGGCAACCTAAGGGTACATAGAGTAGAATCAGCAGGAGAAAAAAGCACATTAGAGTGATCCAGCTTAAGGTAACATCTTGAACATTTCTAAATTTGAAGGTGAGAATGCATGTAGTATCAGAAAAAGATGTCTCTAGAGTTAGATATCAGCAACTATTTTTTAATAAATTTATAAAAAGGACTTATGAAATAGTTTGGCATAATTTTATGTTCAAAAACAAAAATAATAACCATTTTATAAAATAAGGCAACTTTAAAAGTACTCAGCTCATTGAGAGAACATTTCCTCTAATGTCACGTGGCATAACCAAAAACGAAGGACTTTTGTATTGACATTGTTTTAGGAAAGAGGGGCCAGGTATTGCATCATAAAGAAGACCCCAAGTAATTTTTTAGTTATGGATAGAATGGCAGTTGATTTGATTCTATATGCACACACACACACACACACACACACACACACATGGGCTAGTACCAGTTTTGGTGAACAGAAAACGTTAGACAGTGTACTAGTGTATACTGTGAATATGAAGAATTTATGAAGAATTTCTCCCAAATGTCAGTGCTGTCAAAGAATTGAGACCTGTTAACTGTCCTGTATCTAACCCCCACCCCCACCCCCACCCTCATTCTCTCATAGTTCATGAATCATTCTAATACCTGTCTTTTGTGATAAGACGTGACAGGTCCGGTTGATGTGATAGGTTCAGCACAGGTTCTGGCACGGTTCCCCCTTTCGCGTGGCCCCCGTAAAGGTTGGCTGGCGTCCAAGAGGGCGCCACTTTTCCAACACACAGCTGACCCTCACGTGATCCGTGACACTTCAGGGTCGCTATTTAAACCGACCACAGCTGAGACTGTCCTTAGAATCCAGAGACACGTGAAGCAAGTGACTAAAATACTAAGAGGTGGTGCAAGAGTTAAGCTGCCGGTGAGTGAGAATTATTTTGGAGATGTTTGTAGAACATTTACTGAAATTTTAACGGGTTGTTATATTTGTAAAAAAAATGTAGTGATGTTTTCTTCAGAGTCATATTCTTAGTCCCATTGTTGTTAGTGACTGTAGTTGAAAAGCTTTTTGCTTTTTTTTTCCTCCAGCAACGCCTGTTACTGATCACAATAATGGAGAGCGCGGGGAACCGGACTGCGCCGCATGCGCTCTCCCTCCACAAAATCACGAGCTCGTCTCAGTCGGGCGGTAGTGATGGTAACGCCTATCTGTACATCCTTATTGTCATGTCTTTCTACGGAGTCTTCCTAATCGGGATCATGCTCGGGTATTTGCGCACCAAGAGGCGCGAGAAGAGGAGGACGAACTTGTTCAGGCGTCTGCTGCACGAGGAGGAGCAGCGGGAGTGGGGCGCGGGGCAGAAGAAATACAGCCTGCCCATGCCTGCGTTCCCCGCACCGCTGCCCATAACGCTGGGCACAGGGAGGCACATGGGCAGCCCACTGGAGGCTCGTGTTCTTACGCCCCTCGCCTGCGCACTATGCTCAGTTGAGCAGAGCAGCGTGAGTTCTCTCTGCTCGTCCGCTGACGTGCGCTTTACTATCGAGGAGGAGTCGGACAGCGGCAACGGGGAGGGGGCACACGAGAAGCCGTCCAAAGGAAGCTCTGAGAACAGCGATGGATCCGCAAAAAACATAAAAGCGGTTCCCTGAGCTCCGCGCATCCATTTGCCCATTATTCATCTGACTGAAGACTAAAGGCTAACCAAAAGTGCCTTAGCGCCAATAAAGAACTGCTGAAGGCGATGCGTTTGGTTACTGACCACGTTTGGGCTAAACGGGCAGCTAACTGGCCTCGCCGTGACCTGGAACGAACTTGAAAGCATAAACACTTTCTTAGAAATTGACTATTTCGTATGTCACAACGCAGTAGTCCATTCCGGGCAAAACTTTTTTTTTTTTAGAAATGTGTGCTCATTGATGCTTTGTACAAAATATTCTGTGTATATTGGTTTACACTAACTGTCTTTATTTAAAATTCACCTTGTGTTGTTGTTGCCTTAGGGGAAAAAAACGAAATAAATTTTTTGAGTTCATAGATGTCTCGCTTTTTGTTTTGACAGCAGGTGGCAGGCAACTGCCTTTTCCATGGGCACACATTAAAACTACAGACCAGGGGATCAAGTCTGTACCAGAGTCCAGCAGAGTTTGGTGATTGCCATGCCCAACTGCGCGGAGTAACCTGGCAATTAACTGATGAGTTAAATTAGCTGTGTTTAACCATCCTATTGTGTTCTGGGTCAAAACTGACCATTTCAGGTTTTAATATCTCTAAAATTTCATTTCACTTTATAATTTTTCCATGAAATTTGAAGGCCTCCTTACCAGTGATGACATGAACATGTAAAAATGAAGATGGCCAATCTGATGTTTTCAAAAAGTCTCTACACCATTTGGGTATAAAAATTTGACCCTGTCGTTCAGAATGGCAATCGAAAATGCAGTAGATTGGAGAAAGAGTGCAGATAAAGTTTATTAGAATTTGTATGGTTTTATCCAAACACACATAACAGAATCACACCAACTGATATAAGGGTCTTGTGCAGGGCAGAGAACACATTTTGTTCTGCTTATTTCAATCTGCTGCCACCCTAAAGGCTAAAAGGAGGTGCACAGTCTATGAAATCCATGAAATCGTTTATCATGAAGATGGCCATTCATCAACAAGATGCTGATATTGAAATAGAAGAACATCTGAAACAGAGGACAAGAGCATGAGGAATTACCCTTACTGATATGCAGCAAAAAGGGAGGCATTCATGTCAAAAAATACCTTTGGGGAGAATGGCACCTCAAAATAATCATGGTGCCCAGGGTCCACAAGATCATTAGGGAAAATGTAACTGTAATGTAATGTAAATTTGTAACATAATTGTCAATTTTGACCCCCATAAAAGTTGTGATGTCATCAACACAAATAAAATATCTATGAAGTATCTGTCTATCTAACCAGTAGTCCATAATCCATATGTTGCTTTGAAGTGTGTGTTTCATAATAAAAAAGAAATGTATTTTATTGTTCTTAATTAACTTATTTACCTTAAAAAGGTTTAAGGTTTAAAAACAGACCTTAAAACATTTTTAAGAGACCTTTAACTCTCTTAAATCACAAATTACTAAATTAACACCAAAACTAGGCGTATACTACCTCTAACAAACCACATTGTTAGAAATAAAGGTGCTGTGCTGGTACATTTTTTGTTCATCAAGGTACGAACAATGTAAACGTACCCTCAAAAGTAAAAGGTGGTTTTAAGGTCCAATTGTGTACCTTAAATAAGCTCTTCCTAATGGAAAAGTACATATTTGTACTTTTTCTTGTACTTTTATTTTTCATAACCTAATGTTTTAAAACATAACAAAAATATAAAAAGCCTGGGGACAAGGCAGGGTACGTGGAGTCAATACAACTTAGACAATATAATTTCAATGGATTATGCTACAATTATGTTCCCTGACTAAAGGTACTATAATGTACCCTTGAGGGTACCACCCCAGTGACAGTTTCATACCTTTAATTCTGAGAGTGTACATATTTTTACAGCCTTGCTGTTTCACAGGCCGCTTACAATGATTCTGAGGCAGAATTCAAGATGTGACAATGTTCTGACAATGTTTTATTTGTACTTTTTATTAGTGGTTTACTATGCAAAAGCTATCTGCATTTCAAATAAATACAGGCTGTCCGAACTGCTTAACTATAATAAGACTGATGGCATAACTAGAAGGATCTACAACTGTCTGCACCATACAATCCATCTTCCACCATCTGGAAAGAAGGAATCTCTTAACATATAAAGGTGTCAAAAGGGTTCCTAAAGAACCTAGCAGTTGAATAGTTTCCAAATATCCATACATTTTAATCACAGTTTGTCCTAAACCACAACTGACTGTTTCTTTATCATATTCATTGTCAGAATAATCGCATATGTAAATATGCCCCCCTCACCCCTCTGTCCCACCCCTTTTTCCATTTTTTAATTCAAGGGTGCAATGGAAAGTTCTTGAGGTCTGAATGGATGGCTTCCAAATGCTCTTAACTCTTTGTGATGCATTAAATAAAGAAGTTCTTGCTTTTTTGGATTGCAAGATTGATTTTTTTACATCCCATTTGCTTGCCTTTGCCAGGAATGAAGCCAACAGAACATGGTGGTAAAGAAAGCGTTATTCACATAATGTCTCTCTCCTTTAGTCTCTCTCTCTCTGTCTCTCTCTCTCTTTCTCTCTCTCTCTGTGTAAATCCTGCCATTTTCCATTTCACACACACAGAATAGCATTATTCATGCAGTAAAAAAGTAGTACAAAAACAATGTTTTGTAATAAACTCTGGTTTGGTTATTCAACATTTCATCACAGTTGATATATTATACACCAACTCCTTTGATGTTAGATGTTCACATGCCCTCTCTAAACTCAAACAAGGGTAAATGTGAGCACGCATATGCATGCACGCATGCACACGCACACACATGCACATGCACACACGCACACACGCTCTCACACACACATACACACATTTAGACTGTGAAGCATGCTCAGAGAGGGAGAAGAGGAAATGTGTCATTCATTTCCTCCAGTGGGAGCAGAGTTCATCCAGCATGAGTCACGCTGACCTCTCTCCTCCTCTCTCTTTCTCTTTCTGCATCTCATTTTCTACCTTTTGCCCCCTCTGTCTTTGATCTCTGACTCATCAAAATGTGTGCATACAAAAGGACTAAAAAGCACAATATAAATAAACTCTGATTTGACTTGACAATATGCTTGTTATTCAAATCCAGATTAGTTGTAAGACGAGTGTTAAAATATATATCACAACAACACACTACCGTCTGTTTTTTTCCTTCTAATGAGTGTTTCTATGGTGACAGATGCAGGAGGAAGAGGTTGGTGTTTGTGTAGTAGTCAGATGGCCAGATGTATGAGTGTATTTGTGTGCTTGTGTGGGGGGTTGAGTGGCTGCTTATGTGTGTGGGGGGTGCTTGCATGGGTGGGTGGTTAAGTGTTCAAAAAAAACATTTAAAAACTCAAGCTTCCTTCAGCAAAGCCTAAATGTGCTGAAGTTTATTGCAGTTTCAGAAAGCCAGAAAACAGTTGGACAAGCTTTGGCAAATATCTCCTTCAATCTAACAAGAATTTGTGAGACACGGCTCAGTTTTTTGTAAAAAAAATATAGAAATGGTTTATTTTTTATGTGATGGATTGTTTCCTGTTTCCCTAGTGTTGATTGGATACAACAGCATAGTCCAGCCTGGACTAAAACTACTGCAACATGTAATGTAGCAGAATAAGCAAATCTAAACAGAAACTTACATTCATTCAGTTGAGTGGGTTGCAGTAACAATCAGTGCAATATATGACACACATAGGTTACTTTGTTATGTAATTTTATGGCATCATGTCAAGTGTTCATTTTCTTGAAAAAGCATTAAATGTTTTTTTTTTCAGAAAGTCCTTTCCCAAGTCCCAAGGCATCACAATGATTAAGAATCTGTACAAATCCTTCAAATCCAAATGAATAAACTCCAGAGGTCATGACTTTAAATGGAGTGATTCGCTTACCATATGTTTAGGTAAACAATGCATTGAATCCTCAATAATGAAGCTGATAGCATTGAATTACTGTGCACAGCAACTTCTGATTATTATTACTACACGGTGCATGGATGTTAAAAGTGTGAGTGTGCATGTGTGTGTTTATTCTAGGCTTCTAAGGCTATGTTATTGGTAAGAGCAAGTTTGCGCAGAGAACGCTTGAATGGACACGGAGGGAGAGCGGAGTATGAGTCACTGGCAGAGAATATTTATAGAATAAACACTGCACACACATGGACATGCAGGGAGAGATAGAGAGAGGGAGAAAGAGAGAGAGAGAGAGAGTAAATGTGGGAAAGGGATTTGATTTAGCCCCTCGATACTATCACATTAACATCTCTCTCTCTCTCTCCTTGTATTTCTCTCTCACACGCACACATATGCACTAAAAGGACTCCGGTCTTGGTCACTTGTTCTCCATACTCCTTGTAGCTTTAAGCGAAATTCCACCAATTGTTCAAAATTCCTGCTTGATTTAATTCATCACCATTAAGATGAAACAATGTGAACCACCATGTAAAATTCTGACTCTGTAAATTTCTCTCAAATAGAGCGTTTTCCAGAAAACCAATCTGAACAACTTAAATTCATGAAGAGTCATTTTTCTAAGTGGTTTACATTTTTTTATGACAGTGAGATAAGTTTTGAGCCTAAAATGTATATTTTCTGGTCCATTTTTGGCAGAGAGGTAGGACATCAGTCCTGGAGTATCACAGCCTGTGTATCAGGCTTTTCATCAGCTAAACATTATTCTGCCCTCTTGTGGTGTGTGTAAGTAAGGAAACTATAAACTGCTTTGGCACAGACATCATAACACCAGAACAGTTCAGTAGGTTAAGTTTGTTGTCCATCTTGCCAAATGAAAAGAAGACATGATGGGGAGGTCCTAAATTAGGCCTAGAACAAAAGGAGAGATGTTACCCAGCACTAGCCTGCCATTTGTTGAGCCATACATCTAAGTGACACCTGAAAAATGTTTATTTTTCCCTAAGCATAGGACAGTGATTGTCAAAGTTACCAGGTGGTAGTTGCTGTTGCCAGAGGTTACTGACAGACAGCCACCTCATTCTAGCTTATCTTCTCCTATAGAAGACCCCACCTCCCCAAATCACCATGTTTATTTGTTCATCTTGTGTAATTACCTGCCCTGATTACGGGGCCAGAGAGGATCATGGGGAATTTGTGAGCATTCTAAAGTGGTTTGTAACACAATTCTTGCTAATGCTGTTGGAGGTTAAGCATGTGTGTGCATTCTGCACTTTGAAGCCTAGCCAGTTCAAGGAATCAATTTTATTTATTTCTTTTCACTTCTCTCTCTTGGCATTTTCTTTCAATATGTAGCCACACTAAGGATGTGTTTTCTGATATATTTTATTTTTCTTTTTCATTATACACTTCTCCAAATAAAAAGACCTGAAATACACTGTACAATAACTGGTCAGGA